GTCTGAAGCACTATGGATCACAATATAATTTGTCAGAAAATTACCGATAGCATGAGATAAAGATATCAAAACAGCAGTTGGTGAAGCAAATGGACCAAACGTAATGACAGGGTAGGAGGAGGGAGCATTAAATTGTATTGTTGATTCTTTCCTCAGATCAATCTGCTCATGAACATAACACATTAATATTAAAAACGTAAATATAAAAGTCCTTAAAGGTTGACAAGCATAAATAGACATAAAGTCAGGTTGAAGAAGCATAGAAGCAACCATAAAAGAAATAAAGACAAAGCGAGTGTCAGCAAGATTCCCAGTGCCTCTCCATTTGGAAAGACAGCTAACACCCATGGTGTGATTGGTACAAGGACGTAGTTTCAGGACCAAAACCATGCATCTGTGTTCCATTAAAAACCTGTGAATGGAATTTAATATATAAGCACCAAGATGACAAGTTAAATTCTAATAAGTTGAAAAACAAAAAAGGGACATGACGTACTCTCTTCCCAGTCCTCTCAAGCTGTCCACTAACTTCTCCAGTGCCATAAAGGGAGTACCTACCTAGAGGCAGCTGTATCAGAAGCAAATTCAGTCTATTTCTGAAGGTAGAGGAAATGGATAAGAAGCATATCATGCAAAAGAAAAGAACCTAACAGAAGAAAGAGGGACCTGGCACAATGTAAGGAAGGTAACTAAACTACAATACGATGCCAAAAATATGAAAGACAACAGCCATGAGATCCAATGCCAAAAATGAGAGTAGCTAACCTCGAGTTTGATAATCTGCTGCCCCAGAAGACATTCAAATGTAGGAATATATGAAGGAACTTTGTCACTTGTGATTGGCATCTCTCTATCTCTGCTATTTGCAAAAGAAATACTTGGATATGCTGCATCTCTATCGTTTACAGAACAATCAAATCGGAAGACACCATCTTCCAATATAGGCTGAAAAATCATATTCCCTGAGCTGACTTTGCAAGTGACTTTCTCTCCTTGAGAGTAAGCCATTCTAAGCATAAACCTTTTAGTAAGAAGCTTCTTGCAAGATCTCTTCTTTCTGTGACCCAAAAAAAAAAAATCTTTAAATTAGGCGTCCAATATAAAAGTAAACCCAAGAGAAATTATTGCGAAAAATGATCATGAAAATACTTCCCTGGGATGAAATAAAAATCAGAAGAAAATTGTAAAATGCCATGATTAGGATTAATCTAAAAGCAGGACCGGAATAGTCAACAGAAAAATATACCTATGCATCAGATAGACTGAAGCAAGCAAATTCACAAAGAAGAGATTGAAACTCTAGCAATAGCAACTACATTTATAAGAATATGAATCTAGCTCCCATAAAAACGAAACACATGTCTGGGCCAAATTTCTGTCATATTGTTAAGCAAGACACTTCAATTCACAGCTCCCTTCAAATTCTTCTTCATCATTCATTTGCAGCAGCAAGAACCAACTAGCAATTGGAATTGCAACCCAAAAAAAAAAAAAAAGCTCAACTGCTGATTACCAATTATGCTCCATCAAAGCGACATAAACCCATTAAAGACAACAGCAACAACATTGTTCAGAAAATTCAGAGAAATTAGAATCAAAGAATCTGCACTTCCATCGGCATTTCAGCTCCCACAGTGTGATATATACCACTCAGATAATGTAGAACTTAATCTAATAATTAGAGAAGCATGGAGAACCTGAGGATGGGCTCACAATGCGAGGATTTTAATCCCGTTAGATCATGCTTCCCATAATCAAGCCTGCATAACCTCACAGTTGAAAAGTGCGACTTCCAGTTGTAGCACCTGCCGCACCTACAGCATGACGTAGCGATGATGCCTGTGCGTCGTCGACCCGAATGCTATCGCTGTGTTACTCAGTTTGTTTGCGCCAATGACTCGTCCTGCTTCGATCATGGCTCTTTATACTGAATTATAACTTACAATTTATTATAATTATAATAGGTATATTTTAGAACTGAGTACTGAGTCACCACAGACTGTTATCCAGATGCTGCTCCAAATCTTTACCATAAATAAATGTAATTGAAATGAATGTTGAAAATATCAGCTAAAAAATGTTCATTTTATCTGTGATTCATCGTTACGAGTACTCCTTCCGTTTTTAATTATAAGATTTTCTTTTATAATAGATTTAAAGTCTTTTTAGAATTTGTCTGAATATTTAATGTATTGTTACCTATTTTACCTCCTAATAAATTTCATATATTCATTCTTTTTCTATTTATCTCATTATTATTCTCTTATATTTATTAGGGATATATTTGAAAAAAAATTATATTATTACATATTTAATTACTTTTAACTAATTTTAATTGTTTTCTTAAAAAGCATAATTTGGCCAAAAAATTTTATAATTAAGAACGGAATAGTATAATTAACCGCACTAACTGTGATTCTGTGAATTATCATCCTCATTTTTCGTTGGCAAAAAAAAAAAAAAACAGCTCATTTTTTCACGGGAACTAGACTAGTTTGCGTGAATTTATTGATAACCGTCAAATTTACAGGTATTAACTCCACAATTTTCTAATATTAATTAAAAAGATTTTGAAAATTATATAATGTATTTATAACTCACATGTAGTAACTCTATTTGTTTTTTTTTGTTTTTACTACTCATACAATCCACCATGTTCACAAAGATAAGTACAGAGATACATCATGTACGGTTCTTTCGCAGGATCTGACGTGCAAATTGCAATAACCAAGGAGTTCGGGGGGGGCCAGAGGCGGGCCCCACAAGCCCTTGGTGCAATTCCCCCCTAATGGCCCCGTGCTTGTGATGGTCGATGAATGCTCGCAAAATCGAAGGACTTGTTGGAAGATTTTCAGTTCAGGATTTGTTTGGGAAGAATTAAAAAATCTTTTATAAATATATTTTATATAAATTGAAATAAAAATTTTTTTGTTATAGTTATTTTGTATTCTGTAAATTATTATTAACAAACTACTTATAAACTATTTATAAACTGTTTCAATTGATCTTCTTTCATTCACTCGGGGAGGGAAAAAAGAAGCCTTTTCAAGTCTCAATCAAAACGAGGGAAATACCAAGAAGCGTATTGAATGCGGTTAGAAATTACAACATTGGATGAATATACAAGTTTGCCCTCTTTTCACTGTTTTTGACGTTAAGCAGGCCTTCGTCCTCTTCTAATTTAAGATATTTGGATATAAATAAAATTATGATTTTAAAAAGTAATTTTACATATATAAAGTAAATATAAAAATATTTTTTTTAGATATATATGAAATAATATGAGTAATAAAAAAATATTTTCCAAAAGCATTTGCAACACCCCCTTGGGTGAACCATGATTTGCTTTTCCCCCTTGGTACCAGCAAGTTCACCTTTCAGTATTTGGCATTCGGCTTGTAACCATGTTTTGCCCGCCATTGTTGTTCACTTCCTGTTCGCTCGTTTTAATGTAGAAACAAGGCCTAGGTTAAGTGGTCTGATCAAGTGTAAATCGAGCTAAGTGCCTGAAATTTTAGAGACGCATACGGTAATGCCCGATAATATCTCGACTAAAATTGTCGTGTTTAACCAAAATAAAAAAATTTCAAGTGCCACGCCTTCCCTACTCTGGCTTCACTTTCTTTAATCAACGCTGGCACTATGGGAAAGACAAGTATGGGATCAGTTGGCGGCGCCGAAGGCTTTCTAGGGCCCCATAGTTTTGGGCTCAGCCCTTAGTTGTCCAAAAACAAGAGGGCCCGTCTAACCCACAAAGAACATATCATGATATTCTTCAGGATTAAGTTGCATCCAACACTCTGAAATATTTTCTCCAGTACATTCGACATTCTAAAATATTTTATGATTTATCTAATATTCTGAAATATTTTTTTAGGTGTGTGCATCACCTTGTATTATTTTTTTGGTGCATCCAGTACTTTAGTATTTTTTTTTATATTTTTAGTGTATCCAACACCGAAACAAAAAAAATTCAGAGTATTGAAAGCACCTAAAAATATTTCAAGGTACTGGATATATCATAAACTAATTCTCATGCATCCTAACCCTATTATTAATATTATGAGTGATTTCACTTATAATTTCTATGTAAGAAAATTAATTATAACTCCTCCAATTTTACTTAATATTAATAAGTTCCAAAAATTTAATATCTATAAATTAACTAGTAAATATTGAAATTCAAGTTAAAAATATTAAATTTATTAGGATATATTCCTATTAAAATAAAATTTAGGAAATACTGTTCAGTCTTTAATATAAAAACTAGATTACTAATTTAAATAAATTAAAAAATTAGTTAAATTAGTTATTTAAAATAGGGAAAACCATATTGGAGGTACTTATAATTACTCTCTCTCTCAATTTCAATTGGTACCTATGTGTTTTTTGTTCTTAACTAAATCTTTAATTTTGCTCTATTAACATCATTATTCTTATGTAGAGACTAAAAAATATCAATAGAACAAAGTTATAAGAGCTAATGTTGCTAAAAAGATAAAATTAAATGTTTAATATTAAAGGGAAAAAACACATAGGTACCAAATTAAAAATGAGAGAAAGTATAAGTACCTCCAATATAGTTTTCCCTTTAAAATAAATATATATTATTTTTCCTAAAATACTACTGCTAATATATGTATTAGTTATAATTATTATTTGATAAAATTTTAAAATGTATAATTATTATAAAAATTATTTTTAAAAAATAAATAAATATAAGAAATAAAATAAATTAAGTTTTGTGGTTAAATTCAAATTGAACGTGAAACTACGTTGTATCCTCCATAGGACGCGAACGCGATGTTTGTGTTTAATACGAGTACTTCTATTGTTGTTGTCAATAATTTCTGCGCGGGTAGGGGTCCCGATGCCCGCGTCCGATGTTAGGCGTATAAAAAGGAAAACTCAAGCGTAATGGCTGAAAAATATCACCACCACTACTGCGATTTTGCAGAGCAACTCAACTATGCGCGTTGCTCTCCTTTTTCGAGTGTCGTTTCTTAGTTTTAAGTGTAGATAGCGTGCTGGTATATTTGTGCGGCGACTTGCTACTACGATCCTTGGGGTCGCCGCTTTACTGTTATAATTTTTGTACGTGAGGATGGAGCCCAACGACTTGTTACAGGAACTTCTAAATATAGAGGTTGAGATTCAAGATGTTGAAGGTGCTTCTTCCTACACATTTATCTTTCACAGCTAATATACATTTTTCAAACAAGTGATGTAAATTTAGTGTGTTCTCTGAGTCATTGGACATTAGTGAGTTGTGATGGTTTCGTAGCATAATGGGAGCGCGCTGTAATGTGCAATATGCGAACCCCTAAAGGGTGGTTGGAAGTGGCGTTAATTATGCACTATTTTTTTATTTATCGTTTCCTGCTGGGTTGATCTTTGTGCAGATCAAATAAGGGCATTGATTGAAAGACAAGAGCAGTTGCATGAGAGAAAATCGGAGCTCAAGGCTATACTGGAAGCATGTGAAGAGTCTGGGAACCAGGCCAGTGACGGTGCTCCAAGTGCCGCCGTGGAAAATTGGTCTGGGCCATTTGAATGGGATTCTGAAGCAGATGATGTCAGGCTGAATATTTTTGGCATTTCTACATATCGTGCAAATCAAAGAGAGGTAAACTATTTAACTCGAACAGGAAAAAAATGAGATAAATGTTCTTTAGTGCAGCTCAGAAGTAAAAATATGGTACCATTCCACAAAAGCCGCTACTTATTTCTTTGTTCTGAGGTTCTCTTGAAATTGAGATATATAAATAAATATCCTATCCTTCTCCGTCTCCTTTAAGCGGAAGGCTTTGAATTTGATGGTGACTGTTCCCGGTTTCCCTCCCAGGGAAGCAGTGAAAGGAGGAATATATTGAAGAAAAGCTTGGCATTATTCTTCACAAATCGAACAGAACAAATAAAAGAATGAAGAAAGACACGTGAACACATTAAATCCCTTCAGGATGATAAGGAGATTCATTGAAAATAATCAAGAGTTGGATGCCAGACTGAAGCTACAAAAAAAATCCCGTTCATTCCAATGCAGGCATATACTTCTCTTCAAGTGTAGAGATTATGCGCCAAATAGCTGCAAATAGAACACCGCTTCACAAGTCCTTTCTTTCCTTATGCCTCCAAACTATCCATTAAAACTTGCTTCATGGTCCTTGGGAAATCCATGTTCACCAAAACTCTAATTACTTCACACTAAAAATCTGGAAGAAGGAACAATATTGAAGCATGGAAACTTAAAATACTAAACCATGTTTATGTCCAGTGGGTTGTACTAGACTCAACCAAACAATACACGACACCTTAAATCCAGGAGGACACTTGTCAGATCTACATGTCTGGTGTTGTCTTCTATGTCTGTACCAGTATCCATGCTTCTTAGGCAACTGAAAGAGAATAATGTTTTGTTTGGTCTGAAACAATGTGATAAATTATTTATTAATATCATGTCTGAGCCCTTTGGTGCGTGTTTACACTGTACTCCTTTAAGTTAACATATGAAAATTATGTAAAAAGCTTTCTCTTACGTTCTATTATCATGGCAAGTGGTTTAATGTCTACTCTTAATCATTTTTAGCTTCTGAAGTTTGCATTCAAATTCTGGGTTGTTATCTCTGTTTTCTGATACTTCTAAGAAGCTATTGATGCGTGTAGACTATGGACATAGTTTGAGGATTTAAGTTGGTGTACTTTAGTTTTCTTCTTTTTGATGATTTTCCTGTGCATATAGCTTATCAATAAGTAGCATGTTGATGATGATAGATAATTAATGCCATCATGAGTGGAAGGGATGTTCTGGTGATTATGGCTGCGGTAGGTGGCAAGAGTCTCTGCTACCAGCTTCCTGCTGTTCTCCGTGATGGAATTGCTCTTGTTGTCAGTCCTTTGCTTTCTTTAATTCAGGATCAGGTTTGCAGTGCTTAGTTACATCAAAATCTTATTCCAATTTTCTTCTATGACCTTTCCTGAGTTACTGCTTTCCTATTATCCTTCTTTTTAATTGTGTTTTTCCTTCTTTTTTTTTTAATCTTGGGTGGGGGGAATGGGGGTTGTTGACCGCTTTAGGTTATGGGTTTGACTGCTCTAGGGATCCCAGCATACATGTTGACCTCAACAACAAGTAAGGAAGATGAGAAGTTCATATACAAGGCTCTGGATAAGGGTGAGGGAGATCTTAAAGTATTGTACGTCACACCAGAAAAGATATCAAAGAGCAAGAGATTTATGTCGAAACTAGAAAAGTGTCATCACATGGGTCGTCTCTCTCTAATTTCAATAGATGTGAGTGCATAGTAACATTTTTCTTACACTTGCTCTGCAATTTACTTGTTAACATCCTTGCTTTCAATAACAAAAAGAAAAAAAAAAGCAAAAGATTGTCAGTACTTTTTGATTCCAAGGCTGCATGCAGATGTGTTCCATGGACACACATTCTTCCTTGCTTGACTTTCTGTTTTACTTAATGCCCTGCTTCAACTAAATGCAATAACATATTTATCCATAAGGTTGTGAATATGTGACTTGGCTTCGGACCATCTCCCATGAGGAGGGAATGCTCTGATTCAGGCCACTCTAGGACATTTCTGTTGTGAACTAGAAGAAGATGCTAATGAACTTTCTATGGACTGATATTATTGGTAGTACATGTTTTCATCATCGTACTGTAGGAAACTCTCTTTTCTATAAAGGTGATTATCTATCCCTATGCCATGCAGTCATATTAAGTTGAAAGTCATGCCCTGAGTCATGGCCCTTGCTCAAATCCAGGGACATTTTTGAGTTGCTTAACTTATTGCTTCTTCAAAGTGAAAAACTGTTGGATGTTAATAGTCAGATGGTATATAATATAAGTGCCTGTTTTGGATGTTCCATATTTGGAATCTAGCATATTTGTTTGTTTCAGCGTTTTCCAATATTAGTATTTTGTTCATTTACTGAACCATTGGTGATTCATTGCTTGGTTATTCTACACGTCTCAACCCTCTGTTACGATGCTGTCTTGCACAGGACACAAATTTTCATGACAATTTTAATTATGTGTGTGACTAGTTGGGTTATTGTTTTTGGCTGCCTTGCAGGAGGCACATTGCTGTAGCCAATGGGGTCATGACTTTAGACCTGACTACAAGAACCTCGGTATTCTCAAGACTCAATTTCCTAATGTTCCATTAGTTGCTTTGACTGTGAGTCTTCTTCTTCCCCCTTCTTTTATTATCGGGAATGAAATTAATAAAATAGTTTTGATTTCTGCTATTTCATCTATTGGTCAGGCGACTGCTACTCATAGAGTCCAAAAGGATCTGATGGAAATGTTGCACATTCCAAGATGTGTCAAATTCGTCAGCACAGTCAACAGACCAAACCTGTTTTATATGGTATGTTTATAAGAATTGTCTTTTTCATTGCATTCTTTGTGTTTTTTCTTTCATAAAAAGGAAAAGCAGACTAAGAAGATATAATTACAAACATTATTTCAATATCCAAGTAAAATTACTCATATTACTTTTTGCTGAAGGTAAAGGAAAAGTCATCTGTTGGTAAGGCGGTTATTGATGAAATTGCTGGATTCATTCAAGAATCTTATCCAAATGAGGAATCTGGGATAGTTTATTGTTTCTCCAGGAAAGAATGTGAACAGGTATGTTTGATTGGGACATCTCTCTTACATTATGCATGCATATTTCACAAGTGGTAAAATTTTTCCCTCAAGACTGAGGGGAGGTCTTCCACATAGTACGTGAGATAAGAGGATTGTTTGTGGGACACTTATGACCCCATGAAAATCTAATTGAAAACTGAGGAAACAATGACAAGCTTTGACTCCATGACAAGACCAAGTTAGAGTATGAATGGAAACTACACACTAACGATGAGGCAGCAGACTAACTCACCAAATTTTGGGTTTAATTCCTGACAAGGCCTTCGTGTTTGCTACTTAAGACCTAATGTGGACATACTTAACTTCAATGAGACTTGGAGTCTGACATCTATGGGCTGACTTGTTGCTTCGGCTCTCTTATGTTTATGTAGCTTCTTCTTCTCTAAAGAATTCCAAAATTAAAGCATATTTTTGTGAAATCTTGGAATTTAGAAGTCAATTATTACTCATGTTATTTTGAAGTTGGAGCAGTATCTAAAAGGGATAGCTGATCCAAGAAACAGCCAGCCAATCTCAAAAACTGAGGAGGAAAACAAGAAATAAATACATGATTAGCATGATGGATGAAAATACCCAAAAAAAGGGAAAGGAAAGGAAAGAAATAAGTTGACTGTGATTCTAAATTACCGTATGATGGAGAGAAGGGACAATCGGAGAATGAATGAGACCATAGTCATCACAAGATTCAACAAAATTTATGGCATTATGGTGTCTTTTTGTATTAGTATAACAAGGATAATGATTAGCCACGTTGAAGAGTATGCTTCTAATATTACTGTCATCATCTATATTTTGATTGCCTCATCAGGTTAATTGTAATTTATTATTTTAGATATGATTGTAGCATGCCTTGATGTAACTTTTGTTCTTATATTATCAATTTCATGGATTGCGAACTGTACCCTATAGTGCTACATAAAGAGAACTTAGTTTTTATGGCCAAAACCAAAAAATTAATAAAAAATAAAAAGCAGAGCTTTCTTTTGCAAAGATTAATGAGACAAAAATGCTAATGATAAGAAAAGAAGCTAAATGAGACTTAAAATAGAGTCTGAAAAAAAATTCTTTCTTTCACTATTTCATAGCCCATGTTAAGATTGCAACTTTGGAAAGCACATCCGGCATGGACATGAATACTTATGTCCAATGTTCTGGCTATTTTGCTAATACGTGAGTTGCCGTCTTATAAAGTAGAATAAAAACCTATTCTTTTATATTCAAATACTATAGGTTGCAATGGAATTAAGGGAGAGGGGAATTTCAGCAGACTATTACCATGCAGATATGGATGTACATGCTCGGGAAAAAGTACATATGAGGTAAAGTAGTGATCACAACATCGGTTGTAGTTCGTTAAAAAATTGTGGATGTTTTGTATTGTTCTTGCTGGTGCTTTGGGAACTAAATAACTAAATGGCTTGCTATTTTTAGCTCTGTTAGATGAGCCTTGCTGTTTGAATGCACTGTTACTTATAGAGCTTTAGTAGTGATTGTTTGTGAGCTTTATCTGACCCATTAAGACCTCCTGAACTGTGTCTATTTCCCAGAAGATCTTTGGTGAACTTGGGTACGGGTTCTGATCAACCAGTCTTGGGCCCAGTTTAAAGCAACGAGTGAAATCACATCTGGCTCTTGTGTCTTAAACCTAGAGCCTTAAGTTTCTTGCAAAACGCCCCAGAACTTGCAAAATCAGAATTTTGGTCCCTCAACTTTCATGCTCAGGAAATACCCCGTTTTGTCAGTTTTCCCTTCAAAAGCATTAACTCAATTGCCATATCATGCTTTCCCATAATTGACGTGGTGAGTGTCCATTTGTCACAAAAGCCACCACTCATGCCATGTCACATCAATTATAGGGAAGTTATATGTGGCATTTGAATTACCATTGTTTAGGGGAATATTGGCATAAGTATCTATCTCTGTTAGTGCAAAAGTTGAGGGATCTGTACTCAGTTTTAGAAATTTGGGCAGCTATTGGCAACTAACCCCGAAGTTCTCATGCACATGGAGGGCTGGTTGGGCATATAAAATTTTTCCCCTTGCAATATCTATTGCTACTTTTATATCATTATTTTCCTTTTTTTAATTTTTATGGTGGTAAAGAAGTATGCCTTTCAGTCACATAATTGCTATGTTATCTTATATGACCTTTAGTTAGACCTGGTTCACCCATTGACCAATGACCCAATTCCCTTCCAGTTCGCTATCCTGACAAGGATTTAAAAGATTACTTTATTGATTTTTGTGATATAACATCTTAGGACAGACTGAATTAATGGAGCCTATTATTTATGTTTGATTGCATAGGTGGAGCAATGGCAAGTTGCAGGTCATTGTTGGTACGGTATGTATCTCTGGAATTGAAATTGTTGTTTTGTTACATGTTTGATATCTGTTTTCTCTTCCTGTTTAGGTCAAACACATGTTCGATTTCTTTTGTTCCTGAATCCCCCCCCCAAAAGTCTCAGCCTGATAGCTTTTAAATCTATTTGAATGTGCATTTCAGGTGGCATTTGGCATGGGAATCAACAAACCAGATGGTTAGTATTTCAAAATTGCCATTCTGCTCTTTTTGGTAATCTGGACAATGATTCTTATGTGCTTGCAAAAACCAATTTTCTGTTTTGCCCTTGATGGGTGTTTGTTTGGTGTACTGTCATTAGTGATGTGACATTTTATGCATGTAAGAAAGGGGGTATGAATATCATATTTTTTACAAGTCAGCAACACTTTGGGAATAGGCTGAACATGCTTGTTGTTTTTGCTTTTTCATTCATGTACGATGAGAATATTCAATGGGAGGTTTTTGCTTGTAGTCAGATTCGTCATCCATCACAGCTTGAGCAAATCAATGGAAACATACTACCAGGTTTGAGCCATCCCTGCTATAGTTTTTTCATGTCGCATTTTTCCCTTGTCATCAAATCCTTCCTACAGGAAAGTGGTCGAGCTGGCAGAGATGGACTCCCATCTGAATGTGTTCTCTACTTTAGACCTGGTGATGTGCCCCGACAGGTAAAGATTGGCAAATCCATTTTCTCAAATCTTTGTATGTTATATCATTTTCCACGAGATCTGAAGCTTGCAGGTGATAGGACCTTTTCTTTTGCTGAACTCCCAAATATTAACCCATAGATTTTGGGCCTATGATCTTCAGCTTCCCCTTTAGATGAGGAGCATGTGGTTAACCTTCAAGAATTTTTTATTCTCAAGCCCAAGCACATGTTTACATGCTTGGGTGTTCGTTAATTTCTTCTGCATTTCTATTTGTGTGCCTGTGTTTGATTCATGGACTGTATAATTATTATCATGATTTCCTGACAGAGTTCAATGGTTTTCTACGAAAACACAGGACTGCAGAATTTGTATGACATAGTACGATATTGTCAGGTACTTCCTATTTTTTTAAACATTTCCTTCCTTCTTCCCACCCCCCAAGGGGGTGTTGAGATTACAGAAATGACAATCAAAATTTTCGCATCTTTTGACGATTTTATGATCGTATCTGTTCACCCATTCACATTTCACACACGTGCTGATGGAGATAATGTGCATCAGACATTTGGAACTGATAGTTGCCAATATTCACTGATTGAACTTCTATCTCCTGATTAATGATTGTTACATATGAATATTTGAATTGTATACTTGGTTACCTGAACTTGAATTTTTTAAGACTGTAATTCATTTTCATCCAGTCCAAAAGAAAATGTCGCCGCAGTGCCATTTTCCAGCACTTTGCTGAGCCACCGCAAGACTGCAATGGTACATTTTCATGGTTGTCTTTTGCTTTTAATTCCCCCCTCTTTGAGGTCATTTGGCATAAATTTGAATGATAAACTCAGTTTTACAGGGATGTGTGACAATTGCGCATTCCCAAGTGAGGTGAAAGAAGTGGACGTCTCCAGTAAGTCATGTTGTTTTGTCATGTGTTCGATTAGATATTATTTTTTTACCCATTTTAATAGCTATTGTGATTGTAAAAATTTATTTTTATTTCTCCTCTTTGGTCTCTTTTCACCCTTTTTACGCAATGTTCAATGACTTAGACTAATTAACCTTGCTTTGTGTTTATTAGACGATAGCCTTATCCCACTTAATAAGGTCAACTTAAAAATAAAAATAAAAATAAATTCACCTAGCTATGGGGATCTACCAGTGGTTGCTTCCTAGAACAGGCAGGACCTATTGCACTGACTTTCCACTGGTCAGACTCTCCCCACTTGAAACAGAAAGCTTGCCTAAGTAATAATGCTGCATGCAGCCCTACAAAACGCATTTCCTACCCCTAAACAGAAGTGTTTGTGACATTGGATCCTCTCCCTCTTGGTTCTGCTGTCACCCCCCTGGGGGGGGGGGGGGCGGCAAGCCTCACCTTGTCCCAGAGGTGAAATTCTCGGAATTGGATTGCCAAAGTCTCATAATCCACCCAGCTCCCAAGCGCTGTCACAATTGGGAAAGTTTCTCCATTTTATCATGACCTGCTTGCTGCCATCAGTCATCTTCTAGCTGAACTTGCAATTCACACTCTTATAACAAGAAGCTAGGTAGGGTTAAGCCTCTGCAGATGGAACTAAGGACTTCTTAAGCTGAGACACATTGAAAACTGGGTGAATCCTTGGCTGTTTTAGACAATTTCAGCTTGCATGCAGCCTGTCCAATCATAGAATCTAGATGCTAGCTTTTCATTCTTCTTCCTGAATGATATCTTCAATTTACAAGGCTAAATGCGCTAGTAAACCAGATCTCTGGCTGGAAATTCTGCCTCTCTTTGCATCCTGCCAGATTGTTCTTTTATCTTGCTTTGTGCTTGCTCAAGCAGATCCAATACCTCTAGTTGCTCATTTATCTTGGAATTATTATCATCTCTACCCTTGAACAAGGTAGGAGAATCCCTACCATAAATGGCCATGAAAGGGGTCATCCTCAAACGGTTGTAGGTGGTGTTAAATCAATTCTAAATCCACAGAAGCATCTTTGCGCTACATTTTGGGTTTTCTCTGCCAAAGCACCTCAAATAGGTTTCCAAACTGCAGCTCACCACCTTTGTCAATTGCTTGGTTTTTGGGGGTGGTAGCCCGAAATATACTTTAGAGTAGTTCAGATTAAGCAAATATTATATATTTTAAGGTATTAATTATACTCATCACTGACTGTTATTAATTCATGTAATATGGATGAATTGCAGGCCATGCAAAGCTGATGGTTTCTTTGTTGCAAGATATGCAAGAAAATGATCAGCGATTAACAATGTTACAGTTGGTTGACAAAATGAAAATTAAGCAGAAGGAACTAGGTTGTGCTCTCTCTTTAATGCCTAAAGACTACCCCCCCCCCCAAACCCCCACAAAGAAAAAGCTCTTTCCCATGGCCTTTTCTCGCATTCCCCTTTGTATGAATATAATTTCTCCTTTTGTCAGTCTAATCTTTTTCTAGGTGATGTACAGTAATATGTTGTATTAAATTTTGCTGCCAATCATTTATCCAGATTTTGAGTTGAAGAAAGAGGAAATGGAGCAGATCATCTTGCAGCTTTTGCTAGAGCGGGTTTTGGTGAGATAATTGAAAGCCAGAATTCCCTCAACTATAGTTGGACTTGCACACACGCCAAACCAGTTTTACAATTGTAAAGTCACGATTGTGCAAAGTATTAGCTGTTAAGATTTTTCCATGAGTCAATTTCCGGAGAATTCAATGACATCCTAGATGATTATCTTATTTATCTGATATCAAGAACTGTTATATTGAAGCATTTTTTGGCCCACATAGATTGAAGCTAGATCATTCTCTGGTTCACTATAATTATATAATTAAAACATCGTATACTATTTAGTTGAAGATATTGAGTGGCATAAAATGAGCTAGATTACAACATCATATACTATTTTAATCTGATGCTTGTAGAGATTGGGGAAGATAGATAGGCAGCAATTTTTTTAGAATCAGATATTAAACATATTTTTAAGGCACAAGCGTTTTTTAGTTGATCTAATGGGCACATGTTATAAATGTAAATATATATATGTATTTTTTTTCACTGGGTGATTTGGAGACGATGTTTCTTGATGCAGAAAGAAGAATTTCAGCATACAGCATATTCGACAAATGCTTATGTTGCTGTGGGACCATTGGCCAAGCAAATATTGCTAGGTAGACAATATTTTACGAGTTTTCCTTATTCTTGCAAGCTAATCTATCGTGGCAACTAATAAGTAGTTGTTGTTTCTGAATTCTTCCAAATCGGGTTCAAGTAGTTTTCAGTTCCTGAGAAATTCTGGTTTTATGGCCAAAACCTACCCTTATTTATCTAGTATTCGGTCTGTCTTCTATTTCTGCGCCCAAGATCTTGTAGAGGCACCCACTTGGTCACAATAACAAAAACTCAAGGACAGATGCTATTTCATCTTGTTTTGCTGTGATCTAAGATGTTCATCCATGGCATTTTCTACTTCCAAAGACATATCTTTTCTGTCTGCTTCACCTCCAGATTGACATTTCGCTATTCTCAATACTGTTGTTCTTACGTGCAGGAAAGAAGACTGTCAAGATTGAAATTCCTAATGATCAGAGAACCAAGGCTGGTGTCAGATCAGTTAAACGTAGCCTTGGTTCCTCTGGTCTGGAGGTAAAGCTTGATGAGTTGAGGAAAGAATTGTCTTCCATTCATGGAGGAATACTCCCACACTCTGTTTTATCCACTCAACAAATTAGCCTCATCAGTTCTCAAAAACCAAACTCACTAGAACAGGTAACTTCTTTAAAGCACATAATCTCAATTTGCACTGGTTCTTGGAGCTATGGTCTTTTTCTCTTTTTGTTTAGATCTTTCATCTTAATTAACTGTTATCTTGCTGAAACACAACACAGAATAATACCGTACATTCCTCTATTATTCATTTCATACTGGTTTGACGAGTTTCGCATGCATCTTAGACAGAAAAGGAAGCGTCCTCGTTGCTTGTAGTTGGATGGTTGAGGACAAAAGATACTATCTCCGGTCTTAGATATAAGATCTAGTTTGTGGTGCAAATTTACGCTACTAACTAGATCTTATATTTAAAACTAGAGCTAGTATCTAGTAAAGAACATAGAAGAGCCGAAAAAGGCATCAGGAATGTCGAAATGGTTCAGAATTCACTAATTCAGTTAAAATATAGGATTTGTAGAAGAGATAATTGACCATTATATTTAAGCTGAAGTCTATCATAAAATACCCCAGCGAACTAAGAAAAGAAATATCTAATTTTCGAGAAACATGGGGCCCAGTGCAAAACTTTCAGCCTGCTGCTATTACTGCATTGCATTGCCGATTGAACATTGTAGCTGTAACTGGAGTTGTGACCGTGAGATTTGCATCTTTTTTCCCACTCGCAGCTAGAGAAGATAATTGGAAAACTGAAGACAGAAAAGTATGGAGATAGAATCCTTGCTCAAATTGAAATGTATTCTGATTTTAAGCCTCCTGATGAGAAAAATGAACAAGGCTCCGAATTTAGAGCTGCAAAGAGGTCCAAGACCAAGAAACCTATTGTGCTTGTCGAGAGTAGTGAAGAAGATGGAGCATGATATCATAAGATGGATGGTCTTCTGTGTGTTTTCTACGAGGTTAACAGGGAAAGGAAGCTGAATGACCAAACATTGTGGGAAGCTTAGATTTCAGAAGATTTACGGATAAAGTAGGGTAAAAATATCGTAGTCCATGAAATTCAACTTTTGTTGGGGACAAATTATTAATTGTTTACATGCTATTTATTAAATTAAAAGGAGATTTAATACCATATTAAGATTTTTTGAAAATTTTCAGTAGTGAAATACAGGAAATGAATACTGAATTTGAGAACTTAAGTTGTTATGAGATCTTAATATGAGAACTTAACATTTTTATAAAGTCCTTAATTATCGCTTTTAAGTATATTTTTATTTGAAGGTTGGCGATTTTTTTTTTTCTGTGTACAAGACCATGTATTATTTAAGATAGGTTCAGGATGCTGTAGTCCTTTCAAAACAAAAGCTGAGATTTTCTTAAAAATATGTTGCATTTTTTCTTTCCGGATGAATTTAAAAGCCAAGGAGGGCTATAAATATAAATGAAGAACACGGGGAATCAATTCCTTCAACTGAGGTCAAAATTAGTTATGATTAATAATTTATTATTATTATTATTTGTCCATTAATATTGCAATATAATTATTCTTTTTAATTATGTAATCAATTAATTTTAAAAATGTAGTTGAATCCCCTCACCAAACCGAGGGTGGTGCCGCGCTGTCAAAAACAGAAAGCGCATTAATGACAACATTCAAAACTGTGCAAAGTACATCTACAGCCTTTTGAAATTGAAATGATGGCTTTAACAGTGTGAGAAACAGACAGACCAGCCTTTTTGAGACCAAACGCCGGCTCTGTCGGTTGGTCCAACTCCACTATTCACTTGATTTCTATCTTATCAAAATTAAGTCTCTTTTTTTTGTTGGGGAAAATTAAGTCTCTGATCCTTATTAAAATAGTTTTTATATGGTTCATAAAATAATATCTTTTGTTTAAAATATTAATTTTTCCATCTAATGCTCCTAAGTAATTATAAAACTTCTTAACTAATCACTCTAATTTCTGTAACCGATGATTCCCATTGGAGATGACTCTGAGATTTTATATGAAATAAGAATTTTAACTATTTTTTTAGTTTCTGTGAAATAATTAATTAGAGTTTATAAAAGGGAGCAGAGGGAGAATCGAATTCGGAATCATACTCATGGCTCATAAAAATTGAAAATGGAGGCTTTTGCCACCTCACACTTGCTCAAATAACATGTGGACGGCAATAGGATAGGGATAGAGGTCAAAAAATACTCTCTATGACTTTATTACTAAAATGATTGCATCGATATATAAACTTAAATTTATATTCTAATCATTTCCTTTTAGAATTAAAATCCTTTATTACAAGCATAGCCCACAATCTTATAACATAGTTGGGAGCTTGGGGTGGTGTTACTTTTGCGTTGAAAAATTGTCCCCAACATACATTTAATCAAAACAAAAAAGAGTCACAAGCTCATTACTAATATAGTTGCCAGCTTAATTATTTAGTCGCATCCAAAATTTATGATTAATATAATTTGGTTTTTCAAACCAAGACATATATATAGAGAAAATTTGTTCAACTGGATGGCATCATCAGTTTATCGTTACCTGAATTCTCCTTACCCTTAATTAGGGCTATTTGGGCGTTTAAAAGAAACCACAAAATTGTCAATTAAGCGTAACAAACAGGTGGCGTCTGCTCAAACTTACTCAGCCCCACAGCGACGCGCTAGTTTTGGACTTTGCCTGCCCAGTTATAGATGAGCGCTGATGCTAGCCTTTGACACAGTATATTGGCGTCCACATACCTCAAATAGAATTATTTTTAGTGAAAAAATATGTGTGATTAAAAAAAAATTAATTCATCGATTAAATAAGATTAAAAATCCTTAGAATTTAAAACTTTTAAAATATCTTTGTGAATATTAGTTCACAAATAAGAAATAATTGACAATTCTGTGGTTCCCGCTTAGCTACGCATTTTTTTTTTTATCGGTCATATGAAAGCCAAGTTGAATCCATTGATCCCCATTCTAAAAATTCATTCTTTTGCCTCATTAAGATCGTTATTATGCACGAATATATACTGCTTTCATCTAAATATAAGAGTCAAATAATTAATTTATAAAAATTGAATAAATTAACTAAATTGATTATTTATAAATTTGTGCTCATTTTTTAAACACCCATTTTGCATCATTTGCATTAAAAATCACTCTCTTGATAAAAGAATTCCCTTAATATATGCAGTAAATAAAAAAAAAGTGGGAAAAATTATAAATTTAAAAGACATGTTGGATTAAAATCTTGCGCTCATAACAAAATTAAATATATATACGCACACTAACTCTTATATTTAAAAAAGAAGAACCCCATTTAAATTTAACTAAAATACTAAAATTTAAAATTAGGCCTACACTTTGAATAAATCCTTAACCAGGCTAAAGGGCTAATTAGAAATTTATAAATGTTGGTAAAAGTCCAGAATACATTTCTATAATTATAATACGACTTGTTATTTTTATATTTTTCTTCTTCACAGATTCTTCTAAATTATTTTGTTGGATTTTTCTGAAATTTGAAAATAGTAAATCTTTAGTAGACGATGGAAAATTACAACACAATCCTTAATTTATATTAATAATTACTCTAACACTATCATCAATGTAACAGTGTAGGTCATTGATAGATTTTAATTTTGGATGGGTTTAATCTCTACTTAGTTTTAATATTAATCCATCCTCCACATACTTAATAATATACACACACATACAGTTTCTTTTAAGAGTAGAAAACTTATTCAGACAACGATTTTTTTTTAACAAATTTCGGATTGAAGACAGTATTATAATTTATTATTTTTATATTTTAAGAAAAGAATTCATAAGTGAGAAAATTATAAAATTAATAGCTCGTATTTTAATTATATAGGGGTATTTTAGTTTTTTTAATAATATTCATAAATTTTTAATTAGGCCTCTTGACCTAATTAGAAATTTATTCAAAATGAAGACGTGATTTTAATTTCAGTATTTTAATTGAATTTAAATAAGATTCTCCGTATTTAGAATCAGAATTGGCATATATTTAATTTTTAAAAGATTTTAGGATGTTCACAAGTCATATTCTTTTTTTTTTTTTTTGGGCGGCCCTGATAAGAAGAGAATAGGGAGGAATGCGTAACGGGGAGGCAAGTGTGAGGAACCACTCATTAATGGCGGTAGCGTTGGGGTGGGGGGTGGGGTGGCGTGGGACTTGATTATTTCTAAATTTTAAATTTTAAATTTCAAATTTTTTAAAATATTTGATGCACTCTTTTAAGAAAAAAATTTAATTTTAATCATTTATTCTCTTTTTTTGGTTATACTTTTTATCACATTTTTTCGTACATTCTCTTTCATAATTTTTTATTTATTATAAATATATATTTCAAAATAAAACTATATTTTTAACTATTTATTTATTATTTATAAGTTAATTATTTAGAAATTACAATGAGCATTGAAGACACTGCTACATTGCCCCCACTCCGAACGACTATTTAGGTATTTAATTAAGCCCGAAAGGCGCAACTTTTTGGAAGTGTCAGAGGGCATATGATGTATCCTAGTCAATCCACGTGCCCTCCCTTCCCAAATCCATGGGAATACTTCTCTTTTACATTCCACTTCACCGGTTTCTCATACCCCGAGAGCCTTCCCTTAAAGAGGTGAACTATCGTCAAAGCTTGTGTTCCAGCTCTTTTTTTTTTTTTAATAAGTTACTTATATCTAAATTTACAAATTAAAAAATGTATTAAATTAATTTTTTTTTTCATACTTGTTCGGTTGTTCCTACTAAAAAAAAAGAGTATTAAAAATATGTTTTATATTTTACTCAACTATTTACCTTATTTTTCTCTACATTTATCAAGCTAATAAGGATAAAATTAAAAAAAAAAAATCGTTAATTATCATACAAATGACTTATAGATAAATACCATGTTTGGCAAAGATATACCTCCACTAGTACTATTTACATCCTCTTTTATATATATATATATATATATATATATATATATTGAAACTATGTTCCTCCTGTTGGCACAGATATACCTCCACCAGTACTATTTGCTTCCTCTTTTATTTATTATAAGCTATATTTTAGAAGGATTTTTTTTCTTCAATATAATTTTAGTTCTACAATTCATGTTCAAAAGTGTGTTTCTCTCTCTAACTCAAAACCTCATTAAAAGTATGTCTTTACTGTTACCTATGATCCTAATTATAGAGTCTCATTTATAGACTATAAACGAAGTCTTATAATTAAGACGAAAAGTAATATTATTTTTCTAATTCGTATTAATTAACTGAAACTACCTTATAATAACAATCAGAGAGTAAGTAGTATTCGATCGCTTAGGATCATTCTTATATATATAAGTAATGTTTTGTGCTTGTTTCGTTTACTTGGTTCCTGTTTCATCCCTCGAGAGGCTTGTTTCATGTCAGCAGAAGACTCTTCAAAATATTGCATCTAATTTCTCAGCTTGCAATATTTTGTTTCTGTTTCCATGTTAATGGTTTAATTTTGAGATGATTAAGTAATTTTGAATTTGTCTCAACCATAACTTGGCACGAGAAGATGTATTTATGATAAAATCATCTGATGTGAACTGCTAATTCTGAAAACATTTTTTGGCCAAAGAACTGCTGATTCTGAAATTAAAAAACAAATATTATGCTAAAATATAACCAAAGTTCAGTTTTAATACAGGTCTTATATCTTAAGTCACAGTGCTATTCATGGGTAGAATACATTATTACCTCCGGTTTTATTTATAAAACATCGTTTGTAAACTACAAATAAGATCTTATAAATAAGACCAGAGGTAATACATCATTTTTCCCGTAGTTTTTACTTTTCTTTTTTTTTGCTGAACTTTTTCCTGCAGTTTTTAAATTATATTTATATCCGCTTTTTTGTTTTGTTTTGGCCAAATATCCACTTTGTTGTGCAGCACTTAATTAGGTCACTTTCTCTGTGTGTGTGTCTGTGTTAAATCAAGAAGGCTTGGACACTATACCCCACCACAATCCACTTACAAATTGAATTTATATTTTTTCACATTCTTTCGTAGAGGGGCCAAAATATCCCATCATAAACTTTTGGAGGACCTTTTTATAAGTCCATACGTTTTATTATTTTTTTTTCTTTTTTGGAACATTAGTAATATTAATCTTTTTATTAACTTTTTTCTTCGACCTTTCATTATAATGGCA